AGTACTTTGGCCATCTCATGAGAAGAAAAGACTCCTTGGAAAAAACCTTGATGTTAGAAAAGTGTGACGGCTAGAGGAGAAGGGGACGACCGAGGATGAGATGGCTATACAGTGTCTGCGAAGCAACCAACATGAATTTGACACAACTCCGGGAGGCAGTGGAAGATAGGAGGGCCTGGCGTGCTCTGGTCCATGGGGTCACGAAGAGTCGGACACGACTAATCGACTAAACAATGACGACAATTATGTACTTTCCTCACAGTAATCTTAGTGTTATTAGATTATTACCTTCTATTAATTGGGAAATTATTTTTTGAAGAGTTGTTCTGTAACACTATGAAAGATAAATAGAAAACAGTCTCATAGCACTTAAATACTAGAAAATTTTATTTGGCATACATTTTCATAGACACCCTGTTTTTGTGTAGGTCCCATTTTTTGTAGGAATTAGACTACCTACAAGAAAATAACTTTAAAATGGGTGGATGGCAGTTAATTGCAAGGAAAAGCCTTGTCTTGTTAGTGTGAGATGTATCCATAAAGCAGTTAACAACTAAAAATAAAGTTTTGCACAGAAGGGTCTGTGTGTTACAGGTGAATGAGTCTTATTGAATCAGGGTTGCTTTTGCTAAGGTGAGATGTCAGGAGTACTAATTTGTAAAAAAAAAAAGTAGTAGACCATTGTCGTGACATTTACATTGAACTTAAAGGTAGCTGGGAATAGATCTGTGTGGGTGTGTGCCATGTGCATACTGCCCTTGACACTTCAAAAAGTAGAAAGATTTACCCTTTGAGTGCCATACTGTTTAACATTTAACAAGATTTGCTACTGTTTGATTCTTCCCTGCCTCTCCTGGGAGATAATGTATAGCAGAGATGACTTTGGAAGATTTTGAGCAAATAGAAGTGGCCCCCATGGAGGCATTTACCAGGAAACTAAAAATGGAGGCAGAACATGGGCCCAAAAGGGGGCTCATTGTCCCCATTCCTATATGTTCAATCTCTGACCTATTTGTTATGCTTTGTGTTATATCACATCTTTCCTACAATGAGCTCAAGGCAGCATATATGGCTTTCTTCTTCCATAGTCCTTCATACATTAAAAAGGATGTCTGAAGGTGGGCAGGGGGTGAATGTTTACTACTTTTTACTTGGATATGAGTACACGCCTCTGCATGATCAAGAATCCTGACACAGTGGTGCCCCGCATAGCGACATTAATCCGTTCCAGGATTAACGTCGCTATCCGGAAACAT